ATAGCTGCTCCGGATAATGTGGTCCATAACATTGTTAAATCACTGAACCAGATTTAAATGTTTGAAAGCTTTCCCTTGTCTTGTGTTTTTAAGTGTTAATTCTTTTAAGGAAGGCTCAGGTTGTGGAGACCCATACAGCAGCACTGTTTTACTCTGTCACGGAGATCCAAGTTAATGTTTCCTTTGTGACCTAGAAAATGTAATTAATCACAAAAGGTGAAGTGTACAGAGAGAACAGGACCTGGCCATAGCTCCGTTGTTTTCTTCTCAGAGTATATCTGCACAATGTTTTAGTTCAGATCAGTAGAGAGCACTTTATAAGAACAGTTCAATGTGCTTGCTACAAAAAAGCGAGGCACAAACTGGGGTCCTTTTAAATGGAACTGAGCCAGAAGTTGCACTTCAAATGAACTTCTCCGTTAGTGGGCCGTCAGCCCATGGAGCCAGACTGCAGCTGGCACGAGTTGTGAAATACATGTAGTGTGGTCACCAGTAGCACATCACCTACTGTTCTGCCCTCCGGACCCACTCCTGTTGCACTGCGCCTTCACACAGACATAACCTTACCGGATGAAGTGTTTTTCTTATGCTTGTTTAGTCTGTTTAATAATCCATCTACATCTTAACAGCTTTCTTGTTGGTAGATTTTGAGATGTAACTTCTGCCATTCTTAAAATGACTTCATGTTGTTTTTCTCTGTGTCCTTGGTCTATGAAGATTACAGTTTGAGGTGGTGGCAGCAGTGGGGTTTTTGTGCTTAGGCTGAGAGTTTGCTTAGTTGGTGCTGTTGCTTTAGTCTGCAGTGTCTGTGAGGCAGAAGTAGTTATATTTCACTAAAAGTAGGCTTTGTTCATAATACAGAAACTTCTTTTTACCAAGCCTGAAGATCCTAATTAAAGATAAGGTGCTTTAGCTACAGTGTCATTGATAAATTTGTGACAGTTTTCCACACAATGTCTGAATTACTTTGTCCTTCATAGCAGAGGCAGTCTAGCAACACTTCCTCCCAGCCATGCATATTTTAGAGGTATTAGCAACTACCTCATTAAAACTTTGAGACTTGCTTGTAATCTTTTGCATTTGGAGAAACCATTCCAGTCCTACTTAGTAATATCAAATTGTCACAGGACCAGTTTCTACGACTTTTAGGAATTCTCAATTTTATGCAAAAACGTATTGTTTTCTTCGGTGGTGGCTTTTTTTTTTTCATCTGAAGTGTTTAATTATCTGATTGTTGTTCCCTCAAAGACATCCTGTTATTCAGGTGTTTTGTTGATTAGTGTGTGAAGTATATATTGGTGTGTTTAGGTACAACATAAAATTTTATAAGTAGTGTGACAGTGAGCTTGAAATAATTACGTGGAACCTAGAAGATAAAGTGAATTCCAGTACACCTAAAATTTGAACAGTTATGATTAGCTTACTGAATATATTGTTTTTCTGTTACTCTTCTGGTGAATGAGTATATCTGTTTTTTGGGGTTTTTTTTTAAACCACATGTGGTGAACAAAGATCTGTTAGGCTCTTAAAAGCTTCCAAAATCCTATAGTAATAACACATAGGGAACATCATGTTGGCCTCTGTGAGTATGTCTTGCTGTAATTCCTGTATGATCTCATATTTGATTATTATCCTTCTGTGTTTAATTTAATTTTATTGAAATATTGGCCATATTTGTTGGGATTTTTGGCCCTAAACAAAATGTTGTAAAGACATTAAACTGCATACCAGTACAGTGGACCCTCTGTCACTTCTACTTTTTTGTTTAGTAATTACATACCAAGATATCTAGCAGTATGCCAACTTATTGTTGTTCAAGGACAGAAGCAGATGGCAGTACTAATTTAGCTGTGAACTTCATGATTGTATGCACAGGCAGCAGACACTATTGTTTGCTTTATACGCATCACATGGGTATAGTTTGTGCTCTTTATTAATGCTACTAGACTTGCAAAATTTCATACGGCTCTGGTGTTGCTGAAACTTTGTATTTGGAAAAGCAGTGTGCTACTGCTACACCTTTAAATGTTTGCATAGAAAAGGAAGTATACAGAGAATTTGTACGTTGTCCACGTGCTGTAGTGATTGATAAAATTTGTCTGGGTAGGATGGATATTACATAGTTTCATGAGCATACAGTATATGCGCTTATAACATTTAATCTGCAGCCTCTTTTTACTGCAAAGAGTAATAGTGTAACAGAAATACTAAAATACAGAATTCACTAAAAAATGGGGCCCAGTTAGTTAAACATGTTTGTAGGCTACTGAAGCTTTATAGACAATATGGAATTAGCACACGTATAGAAAAGTGCAATTAAAAAAAAATCTTATGAAGCAGGAATTTTCAGTTACTTTTTGTAGACACTGTGTGAAAAATTGTCACTTGAAAGAGGATGTTGTTTGAGAACTATAGGTGCTGTAGAAAACTTCCTGAATATCCAAGCACATTTGTAGTAGTTAGAGCATTTGGGTAGAGTTTTCATAAACACAGTTTTAAACAGCAAGTCTGAATATCCTTAGAGTAAACCTTTGTTGTATAGTGAATGTAGTGTCCCTCTGGAAGTAATATTTTCAGATGTAAAGTTGAATTTTTTCACCATATCTATTACTGTTCAGTTATTCTTGATGTCAATATTGATTTGGGGATGAACTACCTATAAAAGTGTGTAAACAGCAGTGGTGATCAGTTAACACTGATTTGCAGGCTCTGGCATTTTCAGTGTATTTGTGTGAAATGAGCACAGGCATCTTCTGTGCTTCCCCTGCTCTAGGTTATTCCAAGTACAAAGAAATAAAATGTTCCTCTCATTCCAGTTTAACTTCAATTATATAGATGTTTGGAAACTTAGTTTTCTTCGTAGCTGCTGACAGAAACTGCTGGGACATTTTGTAAGCAGGTATTTTTCACTGGCTAGTGTCTCTTGTATTTCATTTGACAAAATATGGGAGAAGTTTTAGCTGCAGAGCGGGGACACTGAAAATCCTTTTAGGGCAAGAACTGCTTCAAATTTGGCTTTTTAGGATAGAGACTTGCTTTGCTTAAGAGTAAATTAATCAATTACATTAAACTAAATACTGCTCAGGGCAAATTTTTAGCACTCTATAGGTCTGGATATTTGGAGCAGAATTTTACATTTGAAATAAACTCGTGTCACAAGGGCTAAACTGCTTATAATGGAATTTTTTAGGCAAAGTTATTCTGAAAAGAAGATTTTTGGCTGTGTTAGATTTAAAGCCCCTAAAATTCGTATGATAGGCCAAATTGTTCCTTTTGGGATTAAAGCCCATCATCCACTCAAGTTAGAAAAATGTGTTTCATGACTGCAGTAGCTTTTTCTTAGCTGTTTGAGGGCACAGCTGTCCTCCATCTGTGGGTTCCCTATGGGGAAGTCTGTCTGAGACTGGTGCACCTCTCCGACAAAGAAGATGGGGATGTGCAGGCCAGGAGACAGTGATGGGGGCACTGGCAGCTCAGGGGTAGGAATGGGGGCTGTTAAGATTTGTGCCCCCTTCTCAACAGAGAGTCTGGGGCTGGAAATGAGAGAGACGAGGTGCTGCTCTCAGCGCTCAGGCCTTTGTTCCCCTTCTCTGTTGCACAGCTAGAGCTTTTTCAGTGTTGCTGCAGCCACTTTCACCTTGTTTTCTGCCTCTCTTTCTCAACTCTATTTGATTCCCTAGTGTGAGAACAGTCCCTTGCTGTCTGGTGGGTAATGAGTATTTTTCTCCCAGTTTCTTGTTAGAGGCAAAGCTTTTTGACTTTGAAAATAAGCATGACTTGCCTGAAAAATACCAGTTACACATAATGTAATTGTAAATTTGGTTTTATACTGCTTTTTTCATGTGATTTTAGAGTGAATTGCAAATTTTAAATTGCAATTGACTAGGCAATAATGCTAGTAAAACATGATTTAAAAACTTGCTTCTCTCTACTCCTCAGTATTGAAATAGCTTTTATCCTGTTTAAAATAGTTGTCTTCCAGTTGCTCCAAATTGAACCATCCCTAGTGTCTGAAGTCACCTTGTTACATGTGGTTTCTGTTTTCATTAAGTGATACAGTCCAGGATATGCCTATAAAATATCAAAAGGAAAAATAATAATCTTAGCAGAGCTGTATCAATCCCCCACTCATTATTGTGATTTGTATTGTGTGACTAGTCAGGACTTAACTCTCATTTTAGCTTCTCAGTTGACATTATTTGCTATGTAAATACTTTGCTTAAGCTCTGATTATTGTTTTAGAATAAAGATGAAAGTAGATGAGAGGCTAGTTCGGTATTGCTTGAGTTGACTGAGAGATTACTAATAAACCCTCACGCTACTTTCTACATGTAGATCATTAGATTGTAAAGACTTTGTTCAAGGAACCTCCAGAAGTTTGGCTTTTTTAAGAGTGCTTACCCAGCTGACAGAAAGCTAATGCCCAGTACTGTGTCAGGATAAACTTAGGTACAGTTGAGCACATCCCATCTTTTTGCTTGATTCTTGCATAAATACAACTTTTGGCAAAGAGTTTTGCCAAAGCCTACTACTGACCCAACTGTTAACAAGGGTAGCAGAGCTGAAAAACTGATGCCTTCAGTTTAACCATAATGAGTGAAAAGAAAAGGACTTAATTTAAAAAAAAAAAAAAAAAAAAAGTACTTGACTGTAATATAAGGTCTTATGATGTTTCAATATTTTTACATTTTTCCTCTTTTTTTCTAGGGTCCAGGTATATCTCATCCCTATGATAGCGGGCACATAGCAATGACTTACACAGGGCTGTCGTGCCTGGTTATTCTTGGAGATGATTTAAGTCGAGTAGATAAAGATGCTGTACTGGCAGGACTGAGAGCTCTCCAGATGGAGGATGGAAGGTAAAAGGTATTTTATGTTCTACAACTCTTTGTAAGGTTAACGGAAAACCTAGATGTGGAGTGAAACATAAGAAGCATGGTTTTTATTAATATAGCTATATAATCTTTTCTTTCTATTGGAAAATACTTTGGTGGATAATCAGTATCAGTCATAGAACACATGCCAGTTTACAAGACCAAACAGCGCTTTGTGTATAGATTTCCTTTCCTATGGGAGAATGACAGTGTTTGCTTACAACTGTAGATATTTATTACTGGAAAGTTAATGATTGGTTTATGTCTTATGAGGATAGTAGTTTTTCTACTCTGTCCTTCAGATAACTGAGGTTTTCTGTGTTTGTATTGTCTGGTTTTTGCAGGGCCCTGGAACACTCCTATGATAATGGTTGCTCTGCTTTCTGGGAGGATGGGCTTTAGTTAGTTTTGAGAGATTAAAGATACATAAAAGAGGAATTAGCCTATTATTACTTGTAATAGGAGTATAATATCACTAAACTTCATTGTGAGATCTGTCCTTTTTCTGTGCATTTTTAATAGGTGGTATATACCCCCTGATCTTCTGTTGGTGGGGGTTTTTGTTTGTTTTTAATGCAGGTTGAAGCTGGTAGCTAATTAAAGCTTCTGCTAATGCACATGATTTGTCTATGTTTTTAAATTTTACTCAGGGTCATTTTTGAAAGAGTACTTTTAAGAAATGCAGATTTACAGAAATGTTGTTCCTGAGGGAATTACCTTTCACTTCACAACGAAATTGCTATCCATTGAGTTACAAAAGCTTTTGTTTTGGTCAGATGGCTGTGTATTGCTTAGACATCTTCTATAATGAAAACTTCTTTTCTTTGTAACACAACTATAAAAATGCAGGGTTGCGTGTGTTTTTAGAAATTAAAAACAAACACAAAACTCCAGAATGTTCAGAATGTAAGTGGCGAGTATGGACTATATGAGGCACAGTTTTCTAGTTTTTATAACAGCAGACTAACCTTAATATATATATATATATATATATATATATATATGTATATATATATATGCAAATACATTTACATGTATTTGTTGATCTACCGTATTTTACAGTTTCTTCAGGCATGTGGAGGTGCCTGTTCCATTGCTCCAAGCATTCCTATTATATGTCAGACCATTTTTGTTTCTAAACTATATCCAAAAGCAAGGAGTTGCTTGCAACCCACTAGCATCTGAAGTGATTGCTTGTCATCTTGCCTGACTACTGTCACAAGCTACATGCAGTCAACCTCTTCTACATGTTTGTATTGTGTACGGTTTTAGTGGATAGACATATAAGTCTTATTCATGATCCTGTATTTTATATTCCCTGCTAAAGAGTGCCAGCTAGCCCTATGGGGGAAGAGGAGTACTTTGCACTTTTATAGAATTGATACTTTGGCAGGCGCCAATTTCTAGTGTGGCAGACATTTTCATACCTGTGAAAACCTCTTTTACTGCCCCAAAAAGGGGAGGATATGTGAAGGCCAGAACCTGAGCTAACATCTTGTCCAGTCAGAAATAGCAAGTGAGCTTAGTGAGTGAGAGAGACATTTTTCTGGTGTTACCTTAGTGTAAGTATACTAGTCAGTTAATAAAAGACAGGTGTGAAGAAAGAGAAACTAAAAAAAAAATTAAAAATTGAAATTATATTCTCTCTTTTTACATTATGAATAAATGTGTGTATTTTAACTTCTGCCTTATCTTAGCTGAATGTGAACTATCTGAATAACATACAGTGCAGTTATCACCTGAGGATGGGGTGAGATTGTAAATCATGGGACTGGTCCATGTTAAGAAGTCTCCTGGTTTCCCAGAATGTCCTGTGCCATACTGTGGTGGTTTGGGTGGATTCACCCCTTTTGCCCAAACACAGCCTGCTCTATCACCCTCCCCCTCCCTCACTCAGGGAGTAGGGGAGAGAATTGGAAAGAAGGGCAAGGAAACTCACAGGTTGAGATAAAAACTATTTACTAATTAAAATAAAATGATAATGATAACAACAGTGATAACAGACTATACAAATGAGTGATGCACAGTGCAGTTGCTCACCGCCCGCTGACCGATGCCCGGCCTGTGCCAGCCAGAGATCCCGGAGCTGAGAGAGTCCCAAAACCCAAAGCCCAGAAGAGTGAGAGCCTGAGAGATCCCCGAGAGAATCCCCCCATCTTCCAGTCACCCCTGGTTAATATATTGGACATGACGTGATATGATATGGAATATTTCACTGGCACATCCAAATGCCAGTTTGGGGTTTTTTCTCCTCACTGCGCTTCCCCCTCCCAGTCCTGATGCAGCTGCCCCAGCAGCAACTAATAACATTGGTACTGTTAGCAGCGTTCTTCTCATAATAAGTCTGAACTGAAACACTGAAACTAAAATACAGCTATTCTAATTAATAAAAAGAAAATTAACTCTATCCAAGCAAAACCAGGACACATATCGAGAGAGCAATGACGTTTGTCCCTATCTGAGCTGCAGAGAGCAGGGCCTGGCACAATTGGGGTTAGGAGACATGAA